CCACTGCACTGCCTGGGCCATACAGCGAGACTCCATCTCAAAAAAAAAAAAAAAACCTAGCACACCATAGGCATTCCATGAATGAATGCATGAATGAAGAATGAATGACCAACACAGGCTGTTTCTCTGCACTGGGATATGACTTCACACTAGTAGAACCAGCTCTTGTTCATCTCTGTATTCCTACCACTCCAGTGCCAGTACTGAGTCTTGCAGTTAGGATGCCTGGACCAAATCCTGACCCTTTTACTTATTGTAATAGTTGTAGGGCCCAGGCCATGGTTCCTTCTCTGAACCTGTTTGTCTATAAAATGGGGCCTTGGTGATATTGTATAATGTATAAGAATACATTTCCCAGCTGGGTGCGGTGGCTCACGCCTGTAAGCCCAGCACTTTGGGAGGCTGAGGCGGGCGGATCATGAGGTCAAGAGATTGAGACCATCCTGGCCAACATGGTGAAACCCCATCTCTACTAAAAATAAGAAATTAGCCGGGTGTGGTGGCACACAGCTGTAGTCCCAGCTACTCGGGAGGCTGAGGCAGGAGAATCGCTTGAACCTGGGAGATGGAGGTTGCAGTGAGCCGAGGTATGCCACTGCACTCCAGCCTAGGCAACAGAGTGAGACTCTGTCTCAAAATAAAAAAATTTTTTTAAAAATACATTCCCCAAAGAGAGAGCAACAAATGAAATGATGCTTATAAAGTGCTGAGCCCTCGGAGCACAATGTCAGGAGATTGAGACCATCCTGGCTAACACGGTGAAACCCCGTCTCTACTAAAAATACAAAAAATTAGCCAGGCGTGGTGGCAGGCACCTGTAGTCCCAGCTACTCGGGAGGCTGAGGCAGGAGAATGGCGTGAACCCGGGAGGCGGAGCTTGCAGTGAGCCGAGATCGCGCCACTGCACTCCAGCCTGGGCGACAGAGGGAGACTTCATCCCAAAAAATATATAAAATAAAATAAAAATAAAGTGCTGAGCCCGACGTCTGGCACGTGGTAAATCCTCGCACAACACATGGTGGCTGTTACTAACATGAGAATAGGTATGTGCCCATCAGCATCACATGATCTTCACCATCTTTCTGACAAGGAGAGTCAGAGGCAATAAAAATACCAGAGTTTTATGTGCCTTATCACTCATCAAACAAATTACAGAGCATGCTGAGCCAGGGACTGACTGTAAGGTCATCCAAACCCAGGATGGACAGGTTCGGTTTTGAGGCAGCCAGGCTGACTTCTGCCTTTCCTCACCCTCTGCTTCCAGAAGCTCCCAGATGTCACCTCCCTTATCTTTTCTTTTCCTGTCACTGTGCCAGAAAAAAAGCAAAACAAAACAAAACAAAACAAAAAATCATACTGGGAAGGGGGAGCAGTACTGACGGCTATGTATTTTTACTTCTCACACAATTCTCAAAAGAGGAGCTCTCTAAGAAAGGCCCCGGGACTTACTAAGAAACTGCCCCATGATGCCAAGCTATCACCAACAAGGCGGTCCTTATCCCCCGCACAGAGCAGGCGAACAGGTGGACTGTGATGCCAGGATCCAACCAGCGTCCAACTCCAAAGCTTCCAGGCTTTTCTGCATAGCACGGCTATGAAGCCCCATTCCTCTTGTGACAAGGGGGAATCTATTATTTATGTATGTATGTATGTATGTATTTTTTTATTTATTTTGAGACAGAGTCTTGCTCTGTCTCCCAGGCTAAAGTGTTGGAGTGCAGTGGCACGATCTCAGCTCACTGCAAACTCCGCCTCCTGGGTTCAAGCGATTCTCCTGCCTCAGTCTCCCAAGTAGCTGGGATTACAGGCCCGCACTACCACACCTGACTAATTTTTGCATTTTTAGTAGAGATAGGGTTTCACCATGTTGGGAGGCTGAAGCGGGTGGATCACATGAGGTCAGGAGCTCGAGACCAAACTGGCCAACACGGCGAAACCCCGTCTCTACTAAAAGTAAAATAAACTAGCTGGGCGTGGCAGTGGGCGCCTGTAATCCCAGCTAATCGGGAGGCTGAGGCAGGAGAATCACTTGACCCAGGAGGCGGAGGTTGCAATGAGCCGAGATTGCACCACCACACTCCAGCCTAGGCAACAGAGCAAGACTCCGTCTCAGGAAAAAAAAAAAAAAAAATTCCAGAACCTTTAACCTGGGAAATGTCCAGGTTTTATTTCTCTCATTGTTCAATGGCCATTGTTAACTGGAATTGGTTATCTGTAGTGGATTATTTGTTTTGGTCTGCCCAGCAGTCTCATTTGGTGACTCCGTGTGGTTCTGGTGGAGCTGTCAGTCATAGTACGTGGTCATCACTCTGACAACAGGCACCTACAACCTAGGTCTGGCTGGTTATGATGCCTCAGCCCCCAGGCTACAGTGTTGACCATGGAAGGAGCATGACTCAAGCCAAACAAATCAGAAGCCTTCTCTGGGATGCAGATATACACACCTATTTTTTCACAAGTAGCTCAAAAAAAAAAAAAAAAAAAAAAAAAGCCTCTTTCCTCAGGGTACATTAAAGTGGGATGATATAAGACTGGAACTATTGGTGCCTGTCCTCCCCTGGAGCATGGAGGAAACCTATCTGCAACAGCAGATAAATAAGTCACTGATGACAGACTGGATTAAGAAAACGTGGCACTGCCGGGCGCGGTGGCTCACGCCTGTAATCCCAGCACTTCGGGAGGCCGAGGCGGGCGGATCACAAGGTCAGGAGATCAAGACCACGGTGAAACCCCGTCTCTACTAAAAATACAAACAAAAATTAGCTGGGCGCGGTGGTGGGCGCCTGTAGTCCCAGCTACTCAGGAGGCTGAGGCAGGAGAATGGCGTGAACCCAGGAAGCGGAGCTTGCAGTGAGCCGAGATCACGCCACTGCACTCCAGCCTGGGCGACAGAGCGAGACTCTGTCTCAAAAAAAAAAAAAAAAAGAGAACGTGGCACATATACACCATGGAATACTATGCAGCCATAAAAAAGGATGAGTTCGTGTCTTTTGTAGGGCATGGATGCAGCTGGAAACCATCCTTCTCAGCAAACTATCGCAAGAACAGAAAACCAAACACCACATGTTCTCACTCATAGGTGGGAATTGAACGAGATCACTTGGACACAGGAAGGGGAACATCACACACCGGGGCCTATTGTGGGGAGTGGAGAGGGGGGATAGCATTAGGAGATATACCTAATGTAAATGACGAGTTAATGGGTGCAGCACACCAACATGGCACATGTATACATAGGTAACAAACCTGCACTTTGTGCACATGCACCCTAGAACTTAAAGTATAATAATAAAAAGAAAAAAATAGGTCACTGAACACTGAAATAAGAGCCCTGTTGACATTTGAGTTCCTCCAGTGCCTGATACCAGTTTTACCCCATATGTCCAATTACAAGAAACTTTTTCCCAGTTAACAAATTTTTCCTTCTTTGATTAAGCTAATTAGAGTTGGACTTGTCTTTTGCAAAGTGATATACGATAATCAAAAGCAAGAATGTCAATGCGCCAAAGACAAGCCAGCTTGCTTAACTGCTCCCCATCCATACAGGACTGCATTCCTCACCCTGGTCTTTCCTTCTCCCCAGTTTATGCTGATGAGAGCGTCTACCCTGATGGTGGCACCCAAGTCCTGAATCTTTGTTTTCATCATACTCTTCACATCATCAGCCTTGAGTTTGCCCCTTCCCTACTAAACTGTGATGAACTCAAGGGCAGCACCTGACATACGGTAACAACCAGGGATGGATGGGGTGGTTGGATGGAGAAATGCTGTTGATCCCACCCAGTGTTTCCAACTAGGGAAGAAATCTTTTTACTGTAGGGCTAAATGGGGTATGTCTAGCTATTTGTCATATTTGAGAAATTCAATTCAATCTCCCCACTGTGTCCAAGGTCATCAGTGAAAGAGAAAGCTTTCAGCAGAGATTTAGGTTCCCTGGCCCCACCCCCAAAGAGAAACTATTTAATCAGCTGGCTCCAGATGGGGCAACTAAATGAAAGTGCTACAAATTCAGAGGTCTTCACAAGTCCATGTTACTGTAAATAAAATTTGCACTTATTTTTTGAGAGACAGGGTCTTGCTGTTGCCCAGGCTGCCGTTCAGCCTCGAACTCCTGGGCTCATGTGATTATCCTGCCTCAGCCTCCAGAGTAGCTATGACTACAGGTGCGCACCATCATGCCTGGCTTTTTTTTTTTTCCTTCAGAGACAGGGGTGGAAGGTGTCTCCATATGTTGCCCAAGTTGGTCTCAAACTCTTAGGCTCAAGTGATCATCCTGCCTCAGCCTCCAGAGAAGCTAGGACTACAGGTGGGCACCATTATGCCTTGCTAATCTATTTTGTAGAGACAGAGGTGGAAAGTGTCTCCATATATTGCCCAAGTTGGTCTCAATTTCCTAGGCTCAAGCATTTCTCCCACCTCAGCCTCCCAAAGTGCTATGATTATAGGAGTGAGCCACCACACCTGGCCCTTGTGCTCACTTTTTTTTTTTTTTTTTTTTTTTTGAGACGGAGTCTCGCTCTGTCGCCCAGGCTGGAGTGCAGTGGCCGGATCTCAGCTCACTGCAAGCTCCACCTCCCGGGTTCACGCCATTCTCCTGCCTCAGCCTCCCGAGTAGCTGGGACTACAGGCGCCCACCACCTCGCCCGGCTAGTTTTTTGTATTTTTTAGTAGAGACGGGGTTTCATCGTGTTAGCCAGGATGGTCTTGATCTTGTGACCTTGTGATCCGCCCGTCTCGGCCTCCCAAAGTGCTGGGATTACAGGCTTGAGCCACCGCGCCCGGCCCTTGTGCTCAATTTTAAGCAACCCCGCCAACAACAGCCTTCTCCAGGACTATGCTAGTAAGATACTAGTTCAGTATCGTTTTGTAGGACAGAGAAAGCTTACTCAAACCACATTGCCACTATCCCGTCAGAAGTCTTACTCACTTTGCCAAGCCAAACTCTATTTCACATAACCTCCCATATTAAAAAAAAAAAAAAAAGAGAAAGAAAACACAGATAACATGGTGTTGTGATCTTTATTCCATTAAATGATCTTACAAATTGGAGTAAAACAGAAACATGCTTTTAATATACTAATAGCATAATCTCATCTCATTGCACTTTTTAAAAACTATATTAAATTTCAAAGCCACTCAAAGGCAAGGGTCTAGCAGAAAGTACTTTTAACAAATCATTTTTTTAAATAAAAAAGAAACCTGAGGAAAATTTATGTATGTACAAGATTAGTATTAACTCCTTTAAGGCTTACATCCATGACAGCATGTATCTAATTAGAAAGCTTTGGGAATCAATGCTACCTTCCCTTGCTCATAAAAACACTATATTTAAACTTTAGTCCTGGCACACAAAATTCCTCTCCAAAGAAAAATGTCTTTCAAAAAACCCTTCTGTCCCTAGATCTGTTTTGCAAAGCTTCTGATATGGGGTACTTAGGTCGCTAATGACAGAAATTAGGATCTTGTCTTCCTTCTTGTTCATTATTTTTATTTGTGGCTTAATGTTTCACCTGTATGTGAAAGATTTGGGAATTGAAGTCACAGTGCTGAATTTTACTTTTTAAAAGAAAAACTATGAAAAAGTGCTTTTAAAAAAACCCTAGTTACATCTGTTAGAAAATAGGATACTTGTACATTCGTTTTTCAGAGAAGGCACTATGACAATGGAGAAAAACAGCTTTAAGGAGCTTAATCCTCTGAATTAAAGGCATCCTTACTACTTCTAAACACATAAAACGCCTGGGACTGTACTGGCAAGAGACCACCTATTCTAAACCTCAGGTACAAAGTGTCCACTTGCCTCCAGACAATACAGAATTGTACTTTCTCCTTGGTACTTCCCATTCGATGAAGCAGTCTCTCTCTGTGGGCTCTGAACCACTATTTATAAAAGTGATGACTCCAGGACCACAGCCCATACCACCTGAGGCAATCCCTGGGTACGAAGCTGGGAATCTGAACTTTTTAAACAAGCCTGCTAGGTAAGTCTTATGCACTCCAAGGTAGATGAGAACCACTACCCAAAACATAGCTACAACAGGACTTACAACATAAGAAAAGTGATTTGACTGCAAATATTCTTTTACAATGGGCTTCTTGTCATTTTTAAAAATTAATCACACAAATAGTTTGTACTTTCATAACTGAAGCTTGTCTTCATTCTGCCCTTATCCCTTGACTAGAATTGTTAGATCAAAAATGTGTAAGCCAGAATGACACAGCCATGTTGACAACTTGAGATGGAACATCAAATCATCCTAAATTACATTTCAATAGTTCTAGGAAAGAAAAAAGTTCTATGAAGACTTCCATGTAAGTTACATCATTTTTTAAAAGAACCTAGGAAAAAAATTAAAACTGTTTTATTGCTTTTACATGGACTTGACTCAACCTACTTAATTTTGCTATAACTCATACATACTTATCCAAACTCACCCTATCCAAGGCACCATTTTACAAGCCAGGTAGAACACTGTGTGTGATCCACTAATGAAACTGATCACCAGTACAAAGCAGTATAATGTGTCTGTTTGACCAAAGCGCTTTACTTCATGTAAGAGAAAAAATAAAGCAAAACAAGCCCAGGTTCCAGGGGCTCACGCCTGTAATCCCAGCACTTTGGAAGGCCAAGGCAGGCAGATTACCCGAGGAGTTGAGACCAGCCTGGTCAACATGGTGAAGCCCTGTCTCTACTAAAAATACGAAAATAAGCCGGGTGTGGTGGCACATGCCTGTAACCCCAGCTACTTGGGAGGCTGAGGCAGAAGAATCACTTGAACCCAGGAGGCGGAGGTTGTAGTGAGACAAGACCACACCACTGCACTTCAGCCTGGGCGACAGTACAAGAGTCCATCTCAAAAAAATAAAATAAATAAAGCGAAACACAGGCAATTTTACCAAGTATAAAAGAGGTGTTAAAACATAAACTTCCACAGAACATTTCTTGTTATACTATGAAAATAAGGCATGACTCAGCTGGGCGGGGTGGCTCACGCCTGTAATCTCAACACTTTGGGAGGCTGAGTGGGGTGGATCACCTGAAGTCAGGAGTTTGAGACCAGCCTGATCAACATGGCAAAACCCCACCTCTAGTAAAAATACAAAAATTAGCCAGGCGTGGTGGCGTACATCTGTAGTCCCAGCTACTCAGGAAGCTGAGACAGGAGAATCGCTTGAGCCCGGGAGGTGGAGGTTGCAGTGAGGCGAGACTGCACCACTGCATTCCAACCTGGGCGACAGAGCGAGACCTCTGTCTCAAAAACTAAAATGAAATAAGATAAAATAAGGCATGACTCTGAAAGTGTTTTATCGTACACAGTAGTTTCATTTTATCTACGAGTCAATCTTACAGAAAGATTTCTCAATGAAAGAATGAAAACTCTGATTCTACCATTTGTACTATAAGCAGCTCACTGAAATTATTTTTTCAAATTATCAACATTTATCCTGAAATATTTTAATAGAAAATTTTGGAAGCCTCCTTTTATATATTCATAGGAATGAGTTCCATATATTGTTACGATTGTGTAAAATTAAAAATGACTGCATGGAAAGTGGTAGAGCAACAGACACGACACAAACACACAGTCTGAGCATCTGAACCACAAGTAAAAGGTGAAAGAAGTAAAAGACATTATTTGTAACCTGGTTATAAATCTCCCCAGGATGATTTATAGCCAGCAATGATAATGCATCTTTCATTGAAAAAGCTGATATAAAATCATCAATTTACTGTTGAGAGAAAAGAGGCCAAAGAAAACTCTTAAGAACCCTCACTGAGAAAACTTTATAAACAATTTCCAGAAGCAGAAGAAGAAGAAAAAAAAAAAGGTGAGGGGGACTTCATCTGGATAATTAAACCAAGGTTTCTTTATAAGACCAAAACAGAAATGGTGAATTTAAATAGTAACTGATCTTAAGATTTCATTAAATCACAGATTATCACTTTTTTAAAAGTGACCTAATACTTTAGTATGAGTTTTCGACACATCACCCCTTCTTACCATTAAATTTTTTGACAGTTATTCTGAAATCTATAAATTTACTTATAGAATGTATTAAAAGCTAAGTATCTCAATATTTACAGAGTCTGCTAATAGGTATGAACTTTCAGAGAGATAAGAGGTCACCTGAAAATGCACCAACATTTCAGAAGCAAGCTTTCAAGTTAACAGTCAAAGCTTGGCATCACTGATAAATGCAAGTAAACAAGCTGGCATTTTTCTAAAGTGTAACAGCAAGTGAATAAAATAGCAAGAACTATTTGCAAGATGGCATATAAATATGAGACATAGTATGCTGGGAATTTAGGACTTATAGAAATACTTCAGTGGTAAAATGTCAAAAGAAAATTATTTGATAAAGAAATTACAAGCAAAAAGGGACTTTCTTTTTTTCTACCTTCCATTCATACTTAATGTATATAAAGTTTACACTCAGATCTTACCTTCATCTATATAAAATTTACACTCTTACCTCCCTCCCATAACAAAAGTTAAATTATCTTAGAAATTAAGGCTTATATACCTGAATGTTTATATAAATACTTGCAGGCAAGTTTTAAGTTTTAAAATCCACAATAATTCCAAAAGGAAAAGCAACTAACAGATAAAACTTTATCTCCTAATCAAGGTAAACAGAAAAAAAGAACTCTTAGATACTTCTAGATATTGTTTATATTTGGGTAGGACTTTGCTCCTTGCTAAGCCAACGCTATCTTAAAGCTACCAGACTAGCCAAAGTAAAATTAAATAGATAATTCACTAAATAAAATGGGTTAATTTTAGCTTCATTATTAAGAACATCAGACAGGGCAGAGAATGCAAATTAACATTCTGAGTAAAGACCTTAAATCAGGTTATTTATTAATTGCTGCTAAGCCACATGAATTATGAAATTAGACATCAATTAAAGGCAGTAATATTTGGTAATATCTTCCCTCTAATCTTTAATAAAGTTCTGTTCTTATGCAGAACTCTCAAAAACAAATCCCCTCAAATGACAATTACAAGACTTGTGTATAACATACATACATATGTAAACCTACAGTGAACCTGACCAAGGCACAAGTTCAAGTGACTTATCAGAGGTCACATGGTTCATTTAAACTTAGCTTTTTTCTTAAAGTATCTATCTCATTCCTTTCATTATGAGCCACCCTGGCTTTTCAAGGCACGTTTGCCTCTTTTTCTAGAAAGAAGCTATAGGGACCAAAAAAAAAATAGAGCAAATTGCAACAAAACTGTCAATCTACTGGGTAAAAACCTCACATTTCAGAGTATGGTATATTTAAATGTGACACGATTTTTCCACAATAGGCAATAGGATTCCCTATTGTAAATTTTTTAAAAGTGTAATGACATCATTTTCAGTTAGTCTTTAGTTCTGAAGTTTCTCCAAGTTTTGTAAACTTTTAAAAAAGGAATCCTTCTTGGCTGGGCACAGTGGCTCACGCCTGTAATTCCAGCACTTTGGGAGGCGAAGGCGGGTGGATCACAAGGTCAAGAGATGGAGACCATCCTGGCCAATATGGTGAAACCCCGTCTCTACTAAAAATACAAAAAAATTAGCTGGGCATAGTGGCATATACCTGTAGTCCCAGCTACTAGGGAGGCTGAGGCAGGAGAATTGCTTGAACCCGGCAGGTGGAGGTTGCAGTGAGCCAAGATTACACCACTGCACTCAAGCCTGGTGAAAGAGTGAGATTCCAACTCAAGAAAAAAAAGAAAAGAAAAAAGGAATCCTTCTCAAAAGAGTAAAGTATAAAAGAAATGACAAGTTTCACCCCAAAAATGGCATCTTTCATGAGGTTATCCTCCAACCCCTCCCCATCGTGTCTGCAAAATCAGGGAATCAATCTTAAAAGGCACTAAGTGGCACATAAAGAACTTAAAAGCTGCATTTCCATTTTCCTCTCGCTTCCTCCTCCATAAAGTGCACAAAGCAGAGTAATATGAAAATAGACACAGGCTTGCATCTATAACAGCAAGGAAAAGAAATGCTTCCAAGAGAAATGGAAGTGTGTTTAATAATCAGAAACCACAGGAGAGGTCTGCTCATTTATTACAGGGCCATGTTTTAGCTCTTCCTGGATGGTCTCAGATCTGCCATTCCTCTAGATATGAACCTGTGGCCGTGGCAGAAACCCAGAAATCAGTAGGGGTTCGTTTTTTTGTTTGATCTTCATGTTAAGATGCTATTGAGCTTTTTTAACCTGGGGTGGTCTTCCAACAACTGCATCCCTCACGGTGGCCTGAGTGGAATTACCGATATGAGAAGAAGCCTGCAAAAGTCCATTTATTCAACATGTAAGTTAATAAAATACAACACAGCAACAAGAAAGTAAGTCCTTAACCTTTCAAAAACCTGTCTCCATCATCAGCATGTTACAGAAAGCACTGTAATGAAAATGCAGGGATACAGGGAAGCTGTGGCAGGAACTAACTCCCAAGAGAGCCAGGGGAACATCTGCTCTGTGGCTGGGGTAGGATAGGCAGCTCCTGTGGCTTCACAAGCTGCTAACCCAACTAATCTGTTCATGTTACTCAGAAAAACAAATGTATCATCTCAAAGATGTACAAAATTTGACCATGTCAATGTCCAAGAGCTACTGGGTTAGTCGGGTGTGGTGGCACTCGCCTGTAACACCAGCTGCTTGGGAGGCTCACTTGAGGCGGGAGGATCACTTGAGCCCAGGAGTTTTAAGTTACAGTGAGCTAAGATACCAGCCTGGGTGACAGAGCAAGACCTCGTCTCCAAAAAGAATTTTATAAATAAATAAACAAGCAACCCAATAAGTAAATAAGCAAGTCACTGGCTTTTGGAAGATTTTTAAATAAAAAGAGATACCATCCCTTTCCTAATCCAGTAGGACTCAAAACCGAACATTTTTCGTTAAGTTCATAATTTTTTCAAAGCTCTTGATTTTCAGTGAAATAAATCTGGGGGCGGGTGAGAAGGGAGAATCACATAAAAATTATGTCTGAAAAGTATGTAATTAGAAGTTGCTGGCCAGGTACGATAGCTCATGCCTATAATCTAGCACTTTGGGAGGCCGAGGCGGGTGGATCACCTGAGGTCAGGAGTTCAATACCAGCCTAGCTAACACGGCAAAATGCTATCTCTACTAAAAAATACATAAAAATTAGCTGGGTGTGATGTCGGGCACCTATAATCCCAGCTATTCTTCGGAGGCTGAGGCAAGAGAATCTCTTGAACCCAGTGGGCAGAGGTTGCAGTGAGCCATGATCACACCATTTCACTCCAGCCTGGGCAAAAGTGTAAAACTCTGCCTCAGGAAAAAAAAAAAAAAAAAAAGTTGCCAAAGGGAAACACAATCAGTATGTCTAAGTTGCAATGTTTTTGCATTAAAGGGCTATTTCTGGGCCGGGCACGGTGGCTCACACCTGTAATCCCAGCACTTTGGGAGGCCAAGGCAGGCGGATCATGAGGTCAGGAGTTCGAGACCAGCCTGGTCAACATGGTGAAACCCTGTCTCTATTAAAAATACAAAAACTAGCGGGCCGTGGTGGCACACACCTGTAGTCTCAGCTACTTGGGAGGCTGAGGCAAGAGAATCGCTTGAACCTGGGAGGCTGACATTGCAGTGAGCCAGGATCATGCCATTGGACTCCAGCCTGGGCAAGAGAACAGAGCGAGACTTTGTCTCAGAAAAAAAAAAAAAAAAGAAGGTTGGGGGGGCCTTTTTAGGCATGGAAACAAAATATTAAGAATAAATATTAATATCCTAAAGGATGATAAAACATAAAGTCTATCAGAAAACGAAGGCCAAGGGAGTGGCCATTGTCTCATGTCTTTGCTATGAAATTCTTCCAAACTAAGATATTTCACAACAGAAGCACAAATATCTGCCCATTATCAACCCTTAGGCTCTTCAGCAGCACCACTTACCTGCTCCAACACATATGCGGCACCAAAATCAATAGCTCCGCCCAGCTCACGATATTGACCAGAATACCTGATGTAGCCCCAGGTGAGGAGCGCTATTAACAGTAGTCCAACCATACAGTTGAACAACTGGGCTACAACCTCAAGACCTATGAAGCCAGTGAGGCCTGAGGCTATGTACAAAGCTACAATGCCCGTGAACAGCACTGCAGGGGTTCGGAAGGTGCTGAAGACGTTCTTGCTACCATTGTGCTTGCAGAAGTTCTCATATAATTCCTTGATTTCCTCCTCCAGCTCCTGCTGGTAACGAAAGCTGAAATCCTTCCCACCCATCTTCTTGGTCTTCTTAAAATGGTCCAGAGCAAGTTGTTTGAATTCACAGTGCTTCTCCTCTAGAATGTCTGGGGACAAATAAGGTTTCTCTCCCCCACAAACCTAGGAAGAACAAAGACACAATATGTTAAAAGATCTCTTCAAAAACAACTGCCAAATAAAACATGAAAAGATAATGAAGGGATTAGAATGTTTTAAGATGTTAACAATATATTAGTAAGTTAACTTTTAAAAGATGACTAAGACCAATAAAGTCTAGTTTCACTTCCTCTGAAAAACACACTTAAAAAACCGGGTGATAATATTAATTGGAAAGAGCAGTGACATTGGGCCAGGCACAGTGGCTCACGCCTGTAATCCCATCACTTTGAGAGGCTGGGGCAGGCAGATCACTTGAGGTCAGGAGTTCGAAATCAGTCTGGCCAGCATGGTGAAACTCCGTCTCTACTAAAAATACAAAAAACATTAGCCGGGCGTGATGGCAGGAACCTGTAATCCCAGCTACTCAGAAGGCTGAGGCAGGAGAACCGCTTGAACCCGGGAGGCGGAGGCTGCAGTGAGCCGAGATCGTATCACTGCACTCCAGCCAGGGTGACAGAGTAAGACTATGTCTCAAAAAAACAAAACCAAACGGTCAACTTCTGGGGGACCCAGGTGAGAAAGGCCCACCTATGTCCTGGTTGAGGGTCTTCAGGGTTCTTTGGGACCCAAGGATTCCTGAAATCATGGATCACGCACATACGCTTTGAGACATGCTTTTTTTTTTTTTTCTGGAAGCCCTGCGACTTCCCTAAAAATTGAATGAATTATAGAACAGACCTATGACCAATGGTGGCAGAGTCTACACAGAACTATGCTTCGTGGTGTTCTGGGGAAACCTTTCGACTTGCTGGCTATACTATTCAGTATGGCTGTATAGCTCACTGTGCTTTTGAATACGTTGGTGGTGTTGTCATGTGTTCTGGACCATCAGTGGAGCCTACAATTCAAAATTCAGATATTGTCTTTGAAGAAAATCTTAGTCGACATTTTTATAGTATCCAAAGAGGTGACTGCAAAAAGCCCAAGTGATCCAAAAATCAAATATTTGTAAAAGAGTAACTGGTTTGGAAGGAGACAAAATCCTCACCTCTAGTCCATCAGATTTCCTTAAAAGCCACAGTTATGCCCCAGTGGGTCATGTCTGGTCAGAAGGTGATAATCTACAGAATTCTACAGATTCCAGGTACTATGGACCTACTCCATGTGAACTAATAAGAGCACGAATCTTCTTATTTGGCCTCTGATTTTGGATTTTTATGTGCCAGCCTTAATGGCCACAGATTTTCTGATTATTAGTAAGCATTTATTCTTTTGACTTGATTACTGTCTCCTGTTCGTGTGAATTTATTACTCCCACTGAAACCATGTACTTACCAATAAACTATTTGCTATTCAAACAAAACAAAACAAAAACAAACAAAAAAAGAAATGGTAATAATTAGAAGGCCCCCGTTACCAGGACAACCTGAATATAACTTTGTTGCCTCACCACTTAAAGATACATTAAGTAGGATCAAGTTGGGCTTCTGAAGTCCGCAACAATGCCCAGACAGGTTATAGATATTTCAGAATGAGGCATATGTCCCACGTACCTCTTCCATGTTGTTATAATAAATGTCCTTGGCAGAGGCTGCAGCTGCTAAGTTGTTGGCTTCAGCAGTGGCCTTTTAAGAGAGAAAAACATGAACTATAAATCCTTCCTCTTTTAACATTCCTCCACAAATGACCTAATAAAAAATCTTCTCTATTCCCCATTCTTCCTATTTTTCTAGATTTCCATATAGTTCAACTGATGAAATAAAATACTTTCTCTGCCAAGTTTTCTACCCAAAAAAATGGTAGAAGTTCATATACAAAGAAATACGTATTCTTATACATAAGAATCTTTAGCAAAAATTAAATCTCCAAAATTCAAGGAAAATATTTCATTGCATCAATTTATTTTTTAATTGTTTAAATTTAATTTTTTTTTTTTTTTTTTTGAGACGGAGCCTCGCTCTGTCGCCCAGGCTGGAGTGCAGTGGCGCGATCTCGGCTCACTGCAAGCTCCACCTCCCGGGTTCACGCCATTCTCCTGCCTCAGCCTCCCGAGTAGCTGGGACTACAGGCGCCCACAACCGCGCCCGGCTAATTTTTTGTATTTTTAGTAGAGACGGGGTTTCACCGTGGTCTCGATCTCCTGACCTTGTGAGCCGCCCGCCTCGGCCTCCCAAAGTGCTGGGATTACAGGCGTGAGCCACCGCGCCCGGCCTAAATTTTATTTTTTTGAGACAGAGTCTCACTCTGTCACCCAGGCTGGAGTTCACTGGTGATCTCAGCACACGGCAACCTTCATCTCCTGAATGCAAGCCATCCTCCCGCCACTGCGTGCCACCACGCTTGGCTAACTTTTGAAGTTTTTGTTTTGCACAGCTAGAGTCTCCCTATATTGCCCAAGTTGATCTTGAACGCCCAGGCTCAAGTGATCTGCCCACCTCAGCCTCCCAAAGCGCTGGGATTACAGGCATAAGCCACCACACCTGGCTCCACTGCTTCAACTTTAAAAAAATAGATGTGAGTCAAAAAAATAAATAAATAAATAAAAAAGAAGGAAAGGTTGGGTGCGGTGGCTCATGCCTGTAATCCCAGCACTTTGGCACTTTGGGAGGCCAAGGCTGGCAGATCACAAGGTCAGGAGTTCAAGGCCAGCCTGGCCAACGTGGTGAAACCCCATCTCTACTAAAAACACAAAATAATTAGCTGAGCATGGTGGTGCATGCCTATAGTCCCAGCTACTCAGGAGGCTGAGGCAGGAGAACTGCTTGAACCCGGGAGGTAGAGGTTGCAGTGAGCCGAGATAATGCCACCGTACTCCAGCCTGAGCGATACAGCAAGACTCTGTCTCAAAAAAAAAAAAAGAAAAAAAAAGGAAAAAGCTGGGATTAGTGGCTCATGCTTGTAATCTCAGCACTTTGAGAGGCTGAGGTGGGAGGATCACTTGAGCCCAAGAATTCAACACCAGCCTGCTCAACACAGCTAGATCCTGTTTCTATTTAAAAAAAAAAAAAAAAAAAAAAGGGCGGGCGGGGGAGGTGCCGGGCGCGGTGGCTCATGCCTGTAACCCCAGCACTTTGGGAGGCTGAGGTGGGCGGATCACAAGGTCAGGAGATAGAGATCATCCTGGCTAACACTGTGAAACCCCGTCTCTACTAAAAATAAAAAAAAAATTAGCCAGGCATGGTGGCAGGCGCCTGTAGTCCCAGCTACTTGGGAGGCTGAGATAGGAGAATGGCATGAACCCAGGAGGCGGAGCTTGCACTAAGCCGAGATCGCGCCACTGCACTCCAGCCTGGGCAACAGAGCGAGACTCCGTCTCAAAAAAAAAAAAAAGGAAAAAATTATTTGCAATGTCAATCCCAGGCGCTAGCTCCCTTTATGAAAATTTTCTGCTACAAAAGAAATCAGGCCGGGCGCGGTGGCTCAAGCCTGTAATCCCAGCACTTTGGGAGGCCGAGACGGGCGGATCACGAGGTCAGGAGATCGAGACCATCCTGACTAACACGGTGAAACCCTGTCTCTACTAAAAAATACAAAAAACTAGCCGGGTGAGGTGGCGGGCGCCTGTAGTCCCAGCTACTCAGGAGGCTGAGGCAGGAGAATGGCGTGAACCTGGGAGGCGGAGCTTGCAGTGAGCTGAGATCCGGCCACAGCACTCCAGCCTGGGTGACAGAGCGAGACTCCGTCTCAAAAAAAAAAAAAAAAAAAAAAGAAATCAACACTTGGCAATAAATCCCCTTATGTTCAGCATATGAAAGTAAAAATTATATTCTAACCAAATGACATTCTAGTTGCAAATTAAAAACCTGATTAGCGAACAGTAAACAGGTATGTCAGGACATGTTCCACTAAAGTAAACAGTAGGTCAGGCACGGTGGCTTACACCTATAATCTTAGCACTTTGGGAGGCTGAGGCAGGCACATCGCTTGAGCCAAGTTTGAGACCAGCCTGAGCAACACAGCAAGACCACATCACTATTTTTTTTTTTATTATTAAAAAAATTATGGCCAAGCACGGTGGCTCACCCCTATAATCCCAGCACTTCGGGAGGCCAAGACGGTCGGATTGCTTGAGTTCAGGAGTTCGAGACCAGCCTGGGCAACATGGCTAAACCGATCTCTATTAAAAACACAAAAATTAGCCAGGCATGGTGGGGTATATGCCTATAATCCCAGCTACTTGGCAGGCTGAGGCACGAGAATCACTTGAACCCAGGAGGTGGAGGTTGCGGTGAGCCGAGATCATGCCACTGCACTCCAGCCTTGTCAAGAGTGAGACTCTGTCTCAAAAAATTATAAATTATAAATTATATTAAAAAAATAATAAACAACAGATGACAAGAAATTGCTTGTCTAACATGCTGGGTATGTTTCACCCAAGAATAATAAGCTGTGCTTCCCGAAGTATGTTTGGTGAAAAGACTAGGCCCAGTGAGAAGAAGCCATTTCAACTGTACAACCATGAATACAAACAAGTGAACTAGAAGGTCACATTACTGCAAAGTGAACTAGGAGGCCACACTACTGCAAAATGTGCTAAAAAAAAAATTAACAGACCCCAGCATAATGAACAAGGAGAAAAAGCACATTCTCTTCCTGAAGAACTCTGCTTATTGTATACAGGTCAACTCAGGTAATTGAAGGGTAGCATTTAGGATGCCAAATCTTGTTTACCTGAAGCATGGACTTGGGGTGAGGCAGATCTTCTCCTTGATAAATTTTAATATATGCCTTAAAATATAAACATAAAAACTGCTATAAAATGTTATTCAGTCATATCTTACTCATAATTAATTTTTAGAAAGTGACCATACAACTGCATTTTCCTAAACACTTAGATCAACAACCAGGAATTAGCAAAAACACACCACACACCTTTGAGTGCATGTTAGCATTTTTAGTTAACTAAAAATGTTCTCAAGCAGCACAAACCTACAGAGGCTAGGATTCCCATCCAGCTCCCCATGCACGCTGACCTCACCACTACCTGTGGGCAGAGTGACCATCCGCCTTGAGGTAGTCGTGTCACATCTAGGTGCCGTCTCCTCCTACTCACAGCAACTTCCTAACCACCTCCTGTCCACACCATCTTCCTTGAGGAACAATCTTCCTTTAGTCACAGCTAATTGCTCCTCTAAGAGAGTGCAAAGAACATCCATTTGGTTCTCAGACCAATACTGCCACCCAATGGCCCACTCCCGGAAGGACACCAAGGTCTCTGAAAATGCCTTTCACCATCTCCCCCAGAAAATTTTAAGTTTCACAATATTTAAATTCAACTTGATTTACAAGTTAGATCAGCTTTACCAAAAATCAAAAATTTTAATAATTAAAATCCATATTTACCTTAAAATACTCCAATAGTCCCCGACAGGTGACCTTTGAGCCATTGATCTCCTTTTCCATTAACTTAGATGGGTTTAATACATACGGTATCAGTACCTGTAACTGCTCTTTGAATTCACCAGCAATATCTGTTCACAGGACCACAAAGAAGGAAAAAATAAGCCAAACAGCCTTATTCAACCAAAGTGAACATAAAATGCAATCTTCCCAGTCTAGTGCTTTTAACATTGGTTGTTGAAAGTGGGAGAGAAGCCGGCCTGGTGGCTCCTGCCCATAATCCCAGCACTTTGGAAGGCTGAGGCGGGTGGATCGCCTAAGGTCAGGAGACCAGCCTGACCAACATAGTGAAACCCCGTCTCTACTAAAAATAGAAAAACTAACCGGGCATGGTGGTGGGTGCCTGTAATCCTAGCTACTCAGGAGGGTGAGACAGGAGAATCACTTGAACCCAGGAGGAGGAGGTTGCAGTGGGCCGAGATTGCACCACTGCACTCCAGCCTGGGCAACAAGAGTGAAACTCCACCTCAAGAAAAAAAAAAAAAACATGGGAGAGAATAAGGGGTCTGAGACTATGTTTTGACACTTTCTGGCTATGACCAAGTTGCTGATAGATCTCTGTCCCAATGTACCTCCATTTTTCTCCTTCCCCACTGTAGTAGAAAGTCTTCTCTAGTTCAAAATAGAATACTATATATGCAGAATATCCTTACCTTGGTTTTCACTCTGGGATATCTGGTCTACTCCCTAGCCTTTCAAGAAATTTCACTTTTTAATAATTTGATGGCTGTGCGCAGTGACTCATGCCTGTAATCCCAGCACTCTGGGAGGTCAAGGCAGGTGGATCAGGAGTTCAAGACCAGTCTGGCCAAGATGGTGAAACCCCATCTCTACTAAAAATGCAAAAATTAGCCGGAGGTGGTGGCGGGCACCTGTAATCCCAGCTACTTGGGAGGCTGAGGCAGAGAACAGCTTGAACCCGGGAGGCAGAGGTTGCAGTGAGCCAAGATCGCACCACTGCACTCCAGCCTGGGCAACAGAGTGAAACTCCATCTCAAAAAAAAAAAAAAAAAAGAATTTATTAACAAGCTCTACAACAGGTCAATTTTCAACCTCTCAAGTTGTCTCAGACCTTTGCCACGCCCTCACACTACTCTTTTAAATCAATTAGAAATCACTGGTCATCCATTTGATTTATTCTTGTTAATTTTTTTAATGTTAAAAGAAGAAGTACCTGTCCCTCATTATATTTATTTTCTATTATCTCCTCAGAGACCCTTGGAACCACCCCAAAATGAAAAGACCACTAACTCAAGAAAGGTGACAGATTCTCTGCAGTTTCTACAAGGTTTCCATAGAGGGATCAGGAGAACCATTAAATAGAGTTCTTTCCTCAAAGTAAGAATTATTGGCTGGTCCAACTACAAAGACACAGGAGAATTAAAATACAGAAAAGCTGATTTACATAATCTTCTAACATCTTCTTGGGTTCCCAGCTATACACTGAAAAAAAAAGCAGGTAGGAGCCCACATCAAATAAGAACTCTTCAATACTCCACCAACAGACTATAACATGAAAAATAAAACTAAAATTTTAAGAAAAGCATGGGAAAAGTACTTTATAACCTTGTAGGGAAAAAGTATAAAAGTATACATAATAGGCCATTTCTGTACACATTCACATTTGCTTTCATATACTAAAGAAACTCTGAAAGCCTACAAAAATGGAAGAGAGACTTTTCACTGAGTACTTTTTAATCCTTTGTAACATTTTAAACATGTGAATGTATTATATATTCAAAAAACCTTTTTGTATGGTTTCAATTTCCATCACACTGAAAGACTGAGTGTTTCAAAAATACCTCACACAAGAAGTAGTAGCAGGATCCAGATGCTACACTTGCCACTTTAACAAGCTGTACAGACCCTATATGCTACTCATGTTTCTATGAAGCCTACACCAAAATAACAGTTTTAAAATCAGAATAGACAAAAACTGTCTCATAACAGAAACAATCTCAATCTTCAATGGTGTCAAAGAAGACTGTGCCCTATAAACCCTCCTGTGTAATTTCTAACTAAACAACTCAGTAGTTACTGTATTAGGTCTCCCTGTGACAGTAAATAGGAAGATGACAATTTTCTTTATGCTGACAACACAGTCATCCTGCATCTGATGAAAAGTATTCTCAAAGAGCAGCTATTCTAGGCCTAGCGTGGTGGCTCGCACCTGTAATCCCAGCACCTTGAGAGGCCAAGGGGGGCAGATTGCTTGAGGCCAGGAGTTCAAGACCAGCCTGGCCAACATGGTGAAATCCCGTTTCTACTAAAAATACAAAAATTATCCAGGTGTGGCAGTGCACTCCTGCAATCCCAGTTACTCGGGAGAATGTGGCACAAGAATCGCTTGAGCCCGGGAGGCGGAGGTGGCAGTGAGCTGAGATTGCACCACTGCACTCCAGCCTGGGCAACAGAGTGCAGACAAGACTCTGTCTCAAAAAACAAACAAACAAACAAACAAAAACAACAACAACAAAAACTCAGCAGCTATGCTAGCTAATTACTGCAAGAAACAGCAGCTCAGTATCAGTTATACCAAAACTAAGACCATGTTTGGCAGGCATCTACCTCTAAATAAGTGGTTGATCTTTAAAACTAAAATAAAACCACTGGAATAATTCCTAAAGTATCTGGGGGAATATTTGCAGAAATAGTTTCAGAATGTAGTTCTTATGAAATTTAAATGTTCCACAAAAATTACATTTTAAGTTCTTTTTTTTTTTTTTTTTTTTGAGACGGAGTCTAGCTCTGTCGCCCAGGCTGGAGTGCAGTGGCCGGATCTCAGCTCACTGCAAGCTCCGCCTCCCAGGTTCACACCATTCTCCTGCCTCAGCCTCCCGAGTAGCTGGGACTACAGGCGCCCGCCACCTCGCCCGGCTAGTTTTTTGTATTTTTTAGTAGAGACGGGGTTTCATCGTGTTAGCCAGGATGGTCTCAATCTCCTGACCTCGTGATCCACCCGTCTCGGCCTCCCAAAGTGCTGGGATTACAGGCTTGAGCCACCGCGCCCGGCACATTTTAAGTTATTTTTATGGATTAGCCCTAACAACCTCAGGCTAATGTTGTCTTTTCCAAGTTACATGGAACAGGACTGCAGAATCTCAACCATGGAACTGTACAAGTATATACCTGAGAAAATATAATGTCTATCTTTTTTTTTAATTCTGAAAACTACATTAGTTCTACTAACAGGTCTCCTAGAATAAAATGTGTGTGGTTCTCAAGCTAGCACTTGCCAAATACAAATCACCTGCTACTTGCAATTTAGCATCCAATTTACTCTTCACTCAAAACTTTTCAATATCCTGGTTAAGAGGTTCCCTAAAATTCCAAATCTAAAATGTACATAAACCTTTGCAGAGCTAGTAAGAATTCTTCATGAACAATCCTCATAATAATTGTAGTTCCTGAAATAAACACAGAGGGCAGGCTTTTAACATATTTTTAACATTTTAAAGTTAGGCAAAAAAGCAAATTTTTATTTTTCAAATCTTTCCATTTAAAAAAGTACTGGCTGGGCATGGTGGCTCATGCCAGTAATCCCAACACTTTAAGAAGTTGAAGTGGGAGGTGGGAGGATCACTTGAGGTCAGGAGTTCAAGACCAGCCTGGGCAACATAGGGAGCTCCTGTCTCTACAAAAAATAAAAAAAATTAGCCAGGCATAGTGATGCTAAAAAAGCCAGGGCTACTGAACTTTAAGAAACTCTGCCTACTCCCTGAATAGCATGATAAAAATGAAAACAAACTTTAAAGCAATGCATTGGAGTATTAAAATTGAAACTATGGAAGAATGCCATTTGTGTGTGTTTATACAGGATAATCACTAGGAGTCACTCTAATTCATCCTCTCCTAACACCTCCATTTAAGAATTCCACTGGACACATTCCCCATCAGTGATGAACAAATCCGAGTTCAGGTTGGTAAAAGTACAACTAATAATGGAGCATTATAATCCTAAACAATATATTACCTAGAGACACACATACACACACTCAACTTTCTCTCCCTACTCAGCTCTGAAAACTCCCTTGAAACTGCTTTTCAGGTAAAAGATTCTAGGTCCAGTGCTTGCCAAGCAGATTTCTCTCCCAAAGCAATATATCTTAGATCTTTCAATTGCCATGAAACAGGCCAGGGAAGTCTCCTCCTCAGGAAAGCTGCCAACCATGTAAAAATATCAGAGAAGTGACAAATAAAAGGTAAAGGTTAAGTCTCTTTAACTCAGTTTCTTTGCAATATTAAGATCAGCTGGAATGAAAATCTTGCGTTGAACATTCATTTTCTTGGATCAACTAAATCAAATAGGTTAAAAATAATGCACTTTATATTTAATATAAGGCTATGAAAACCATTCACTTCAAAACCTTTTAGTAGTAACTAAACAGTACATATCCTCTAAATGATTTCCTCCATATAACAGAAGAACCCCTATTTTAGACCAGTATGGGTTTGGAGCAACAAGAACTTGGATGCAGATCTGCACCTCACCACTTACTTACTAGCAGAGCAATTTGAGCAAGTTACTTAACCTTCCTCCTTTTCCTTAACTATTTTTGCCATTTTCCTCACGTATAAGATAAAGGAAATTACATCAACTTCATGGAATTACTGGGAGCATAAGTATCAAAGTACCTAGCATAGTGTTGCAAACATTACCAGCAATCTGAGAGACTCGGATAAGCTTATTAATGAGTGCTCAGTTTAACACATGTGTAAATCAAGGGCCAGCCATTTAATGACTCAAGGCCTTAATGAAAAAGGAACAAAAATAAGATAATGGAGCCCAAGAGTCCCAACTACAATTCCTCTCACCTACCACTTCCTGACATTAGCACATGACCCAGCATCAGGTTTTGCTATAATCACAAATAAGATGAAAATAATAGCTCTGCTATGCATCATGCTGCCTTCCCTTGGGAAGTTAATTTTACTTAATATTAGCTGACTAATGTTTAGTCTTCCTTTATTTAGTATTTGTATCTCTTGTAAACCAAGAACCATAACGAGTCTCTTAGAAAGACTACTAATGGATATGAACACCACCATTACAAGTGGAGAAGCCAAGGCAAACTAATTCTGATGAGTGCATTAAGTCAGGAGCAAAATCTGAACTAGACTTTAAATACTATTGTAAGACAGCACACCATTTTTCTTAAGCATTCACTTGATTTGTAAGTGATTCATTATTTTTAATTTCAAAGATCAAATCACATGTTTAAAGTAACACTTGGAACACACCTTTTAATTTCCCATCAAAGTCAGGGCTTGTGGCCACCTGGAGTCCTGGATGTGGTAAGAGAAAGCAGGTGACATCGGAGAAACATGAGTGAATGTGATTTCGAACATTCTGAATTTCTTCATGTTGATGTTCCTTCACCTGCCAATGAAGACCAACACTTTACCAACCAAAAGTCCTCTGGTTTTCTTTACTAGGGACAACTAGTATAAGGACAAAGGTAAGAAGACTCCTCCACTCTGATGGATCATGGTGGCCAAATGAGAAAACTCAGAACCCTAAGAAGCAATAAACACACAAATCTGATTACCCATGGCTTGACTCCTATAGCTAACAAATCAGGTGCGGAAGAGTTTCTTTAAAAAGAGTATTACACAAGGGATGGTTTGTGTGGATGAAGGAGGATCTAACCAATTAGTAGTGACAGACAAAGGATTCCTGTGTTTTGGTTTGGTTTGGGGGAACAGGTTAGGCCTGTTTATCCCAAAATAAGTAAAAATTTTGAATAAGAATAACATAACTAAGATTCTGAGTGTGACTTCTAAAGACACATATAGAACTTGGTTTAAAATGTAAAATGGAAATTATAATCAAAGCTTGGGCACTGGCCCAGAGTTTTCTTCTACAGTTCCTGTGCATTGTATATACAGGTTCTTTAATCTTATCAGGAATAAATAATATTAGCTTGCATTAAGATTCATATATAGTTAATGTACTCAATATCATTTCCAATAATTGCTTTAAATACAATAGCCAAAGGCAAATGAGAAAGCTATCACTACTTTGAGATAATTCCTCAGAAGATTATAGTCCCACTTACCTGTAAACGCTTATCCAAAAATGCCATCCCTCCTTGGAGTCCGTAGCTGTATTCATAAGGGAAACTCCAATCTCTAACCAAAAACATCAGTGTCTATTTAAGAAAAGAGCAGAACATATTTTAACATGCATAAACACATTTTCAAGAGAACAACTGCAATACATCTTTGCATAATACCAGCTTCTAAAAAGGGGGTAAAGATATGTACTGAAGGATTTACTTTTTTTTCTTTTTTTTTTAAGAGGTTGGGCCTTGTTCCATCACTAAGGCTAGAGTGCAGTGGCATGATTATAGCTCACTGTAGCCTAGAATTCCTGGGTTCAAGTGATCCTTTCACCTCAGCCTCCTAAGTAGCCGGGACTACAAGCACATGCCACTACACCTGGCTTATTTTTTATTTTTATTTTTTGTATAGACGAGGTCTTGCTCTGTTGCCCAGGCTGGTCTTGAACTCCAGGCCTCAAGCAATCCTGCGGCCTTGGCCTCCCAAAGTGCTGGGACTACAGGTGTGAGCCACCACACCCAGCCAGATTTATCTATTCTATAATGTCTTAGAAGTTTTAGAAATACTGGAAGGACATGTTTAAGCCAAATATGAGGTCAATATATCCTATCTGCTATTTTTGTTCCACGGGTTAGTAGGAACGGAAGGAAGACATTAACGAGAAAATGGTAAATTTGGGACTCTGCCTTAAAGAAATCTATGGGAAATGTAGTAAAGGACAAAAGAGAAAACCAGCTAATCATAAAATCAGATCTGCAGCCGGGCACAGTGGCTTACGCCTGTATCCCAGCTACTCGAGAGGCTGAGACAGGAGAATCACTTGAACCCAGGAGGCGGAGGTTGCAGTGAGGTGAGATCACACCACTGCACTCCAGCCTGGGTGACAGAGCGAGACTCCGTCTCCAAAAAAAAAAAATCAGATCTGCTTTCAGCATTAGAAAGGAAGCCCAGCCACAGTGGCTCAGGCCTATAATCCCTTTACTTTGGGAGGCCAAAGCAGTGGATCACCTGAGGTCAGGAGTTTGAGACCAGCCTGGTCAACATGATGAAACTCCATCTCTACAAAAAATACAAAAAATTAGCTGGGCGCCTGTAATCCCAGCTACTCAGGAGGGGGAGGCAGGAGAATTGCTTGAATCTGGGAGGCAGAGGTTGCAGTGAGCCAAGATCGTGCCAGTGTACTCCAGCCTGGACAAAATTTTAGATAGAAACTCCATCTCAAAAAAAATAAATAAATTAGAAAAGAAAAGAAATAAGGCTTACACACTGAAAGCACCTCTAATCCCGTTGATTGAGGCTGCTGTGCTTCCTCATTCTCAAGAAACACTGAACTAAAGCAGAGGTCAGCAAAGCAGAGGTCAGCAAAGAAGAGAGAGGAGAGAGGGAGAGAGGGAGAGAGGGAGAGAGGGAGAGAGAGAGATGGAGAGATGGAGACAGTGTTGAGATGGTCTTGCTTTGTTACCCAGGCTGGAGTGCAGTGGCACAATCATGGCTCACTGCAGCCTTGACCTCCTAGGCTTAAATAATCCTCCTACCTCAACCCCACCAAGTAGCTGGGACTGCAGGCGTGCACAACCTTTTCTTTTTCTTTTTTCGTTTTTTTTTTTTTTTTTTTTTTTTGAGACAAAGTCTTGCTCTGTCACCCAGGTTGGAGTACAGTGGCATGATCTCAGCTCACTGTAACCTTCACCTACCAGGCTCAAGCAACTCTCCTGCCTTAGCCTCCTGAGTAGCTGAGATTACAGGCACCCGCCACCATGCCAGCTAATTTTTGTATTTTTAGTAGAGACAGGTTCCATGTTGGCCAAGTTGGTCCCGAACTCTTGACCTTAGGTGATCTGCCTGCCTTGGCCTCTCAAAGTGCTGGGATTACAGGCGTAAGCCAAAATGCCCAACCCAGAGAGTTTATTTTTTAAGTAATTACTCAACTCTGCCATTGCAGCAGGAAAGCAGTCACAGACAGTACAAAGACAAATGAGCATGGCTGTGTTCCACTAAAATTTTATCTATAGACACTGATATTTGAATTTCAGATAATTTACATGTCATAAAATAGTATTGCTCATTTTTTTCAACCATTTAAAAATGTAAAAACTATTCTTAGCTCACAGTCATAAAAACAGGTGGCAGGCTAGATTTGGCCTATGAGCTGTAGTCTGCTGATCTGTGAACAAAAACAAATATATGAATTATATTTAAAATAAATATTCTAACCTGGAAAGGCTTTTGGAAAATTTCATCCATTGCCAGACGACCATATTCTGTGAAGAGCTTTAAAAAAGAAGCATTATGGTTTGTAAAGCAAATTACTTAAAATAGTTCTATGGCTTTTTTTTAGCAAAGTAGGGTTCATTATATTTATATTGATACCAGGGTTCTACAGTTTCAAAAGCCCACAGGAGTCATGAACCTTAAAATCATCTTGGTTATTCCCTGCTCACATCCCACATCCCAATTCATCAGCAAATCCAGAATCCAGCCACTCACTATTTCCATGTGGCTTGGAATACTGCAATAGTCTCCTAACTGCCTCAGCTCGTGACTCCCTATGGGCTATTCTCAATATAGCAACCACACTGACTCTGTTATAATATGGTTAGTCAGATCATATCATGGCTTTGCTCAAAACCCTGCAACTTCATTCAGTATTAAAGCCAGTCCTTACAGTGTGATGCTGCCACACTGGCCCTCCTTCCTGTTCTTCAAACATACAGGGCACACTGCTGCCTTAGGACCTTCATACTGGCTCCTCCCACTAACTGTAAGTTCTTCTCCCAAATATCCTTCCTCATGATCTGCTCCCTCACTTCTTACGGTCTTTCAAATGGCTCCTTCTCAGTGAAGCCTTCCATGGCCATCTACCTAAAAAGATTACAAGTTTGCCAATAATATTTCCTACTTTGTGTCTTTTAAAAAAAAAATTTTTTTTTTTTTTTTGAGACAAAGAGTTGTGCTCTGAGCTCTTGTTGCCCAGGCTGGAGTGTGATGGTGCGTGGCTCACTGTAACATCTGCCTCCCGGGTTCAAGCTATTCTCCTGACTCAGCCGCCTGAGTAGCTGGGATTACAGGCATGTGGCACCACGCCCAGCTAATTTTGTATTTTTAGTAGAGAAGGGGTTTCTCCATGCTGGTCAGGCTGGTCTTGAACTCCTGACCCCAGGCGATCCACCCACCTTGGCCTCCCAAAGTGCTGGGATTACAGGCGTGAGCCACCACTCCCAGCCTTAAAATTTTTTTCTTAACATTTAGCATTATCTAATGTACTATACCTCTTCTTGTCTTGATTTGCATCTGTCTTTATACTAGCATTTAAACTCCATGAGGGCAGGGATATTTCTCTGTTTTGTGCACTACTGGATTTCCAGCAGCAAGAAAAGTATTAGGTCCATAATATTTATACCATTCAAATGACTGAATTCTTTAAGGTTAAGGTTTACATGTATATTTACCTCTATTTCTTCAGGAAGCCTCACTAAAAGCATAACAAAACAAAGTTTAAAAGTAAACAGGACAAAGCAGTCAGCAGAAAAGACCTGTCAAAAACATTCTGGATGGAAAATAGACAAATGAGAACTGTCTCAAGTTTTGGCTTTCTCTGTTCTGCTAAGAAATCTGGAAGAGACGGGGGCCAACAAGGAAGAATAAATTATCTCAGTAGAATCCCTGAAATGCCCAGAAATTATAAGCATGCAGTTACCTTACAGGAGGAGGTGTAGGAGTGTGGCTGAAAACTAGGAAATATGTGAGTCTTAGGAGAAAGTATCTACATTCCCAGGTACCCCTCTCTAACCCCCATATTTTTCCTGCCTCCATAGAAGATGGGAAGTGTACTATTTGGAGCAGATTAAAAAAAAAAAAAAATCTAGACTTAAATACCATACTCAGCTGAGGTTAGGAGTAAGTCTCGTACCTTCCTGGAAACAGGTACTTAAATCAAAGTCCACATAGTGAGCAGTGGGACTCCTTAGCCCTCTCACCCTACTGGTTGCCACAAGCTTCTACCCACCAAGGCAGGAATTTAAAGAAATTTTCTTCAGGGAAACTGACAACCCAAGAATAAATATCTGCAAAAAACAGACACTTAGGAGTTGGCAACAAAATAGCTAGATAACCTTGCTCAACCACCTACCTCGTTGTGATCCAAACCAGTACCTAAGGCCTACCCTCTTATCGAAGCTCCCAGTTGGATTGTTAGTGGCTCTCTCTTCAATAGGTAGTCAAGGACCACCAGTTAGATATTTGAGAAAAGCCTCTCAGCAGGTCTGGCCGCTGTGATTCACGCCTGTAATCCCAGCACTTCGGGAGGCCAAGGCGGGCGGATCACTTGAGGTCAGGAGTTCAAGACCAGCCTGGCCAACATGGCGAAACCCTGTCTCTACTAAAAATACAAAAATTAACTGGGCATGGTGGCACATGCCTGTAATCTCAGCTTCTCAGGAGGCTGAGGAAGGAGAATTGCTTGAGCCCAGGAGGTGGAGGCTGCAGTGAGCCAAGATCACACCACTGTACTCCAGCCTAGGTAGCAGAATGAGACGCTGTCTCTAAAAAAAAAAAAAAGCAAAAAAATAAAAAGGCCAGGCATGGGGCTCACACCTGTAATCCTGGCACTTTGGGAGGATAAGGCAGGTGGATCACTTCAGGTTAGGGGTTCAAGGTCAGTCTGACCAACATAGTGAAACCCTGTCTCTACTAAAAGTACAAAAAAATTAGCCAGGTGTGGTGGCACACACCTGCAGTCCCAGCTACTCGGGAGGCTAAGGCAGCAGAATCGCTTGAACTTGGGAGGCGGAGGTTGCAGTGAGCCAAGATTGTGCCACTGTACTCCAGCCTGGGCAACTAAGGGAGACTCCATCTCAAAAAATAAATAAATAAATAAAAAGTACTAAAAATCCAGGTTAGGTGGGAAACTTATTTGGAAGAAAAACATGCCTTCAACTGACAGGAAGCTTTTTATAGGCTTATTTACCCCCATTTTATTGGTCATATATTTCACTGAAGAAATATTAATGTGTTTAATCAGAAGGTTCTTCATGAACATCAACACCCAGCTAATTTTTGTATTTTTAGTAGAGATGGCATTTCTCCATGTTTGCCAGGCTGGTCTCGAACTCCTGACCTCATGATTCACCCGCCTCAGCCTCCCAAAGCGCTGGGATTACAGGCATGAGCCATCACACCCAGCTGTGATTTCTTTTTTTACATCAAAATATTTAATCTATCTGGTCTATCTGGAATTTTTGTATATAGTACAAGGTAGAAATATAATTTTCTTTTCTTTTTTTTTTTTTGAGACAGAGTCTCATTCTGTCACCCAGACTGGAGTGTAGTGGTGTACTCTTGGCTCACTTCAACATTTGCCTCCCAGGTTCAAGTGATTCTCAGGCCTCATCCTCCCAAGTAGCTGGGATTACAGGCTTGCACCACCACGCCCAGCTAATTTTTTTTTTTTTTTTTTTTTTTGGTACTTTTAGTAGAGACAGGGTTTCACCACGTTGGCCAAGCTGGTCTCGAACACCCGAACTCAGGTGATCAGCCTGCCTCAGCATTCCAAAGAGGAATATAATTTCTAATTTATCTAAATACATAGCCAACTGTCCTAACACCATTTATTGACTGATCTATCCTTTATGGTATATGTATATATATTCTTAAGTAGAATAAAATACATGAAAATGTAGCATATCATAAGTATAGTGCATTGATCTATTTTTTCCTGAACCAATGCCATGTTCTTGTAATTACAGATTTATAATATGTACTAAGTCAATTATCTCATATTTCCCCTGTAGTTTTCTTGGCTGTTTTACAATTTAACTTTCCAAATGAATTTCACAACAATTCTGTCAAGTTCCCAAAATAACACCTTTATGATTTTGTTTAGTGGGGAAGAACTGACAACTTTATAATTCTCAGTCTAAAATGAGATGTTTATAACACACTGCAGTGTCTGTAATAGTACAGAATAAAAGCAATAAATATATGTTGGCTATTATCATTCCCATATAGAAGAAACAAGGCATATTTCTGCATGTTAAATATTTTACATGCCTCATACAATTCTGAAGTGCTCCATATAGATCTTTTTTAAGTTTATTCTGTTTTCATTATTTTGTTGCTATAGTCAATTTTTTCCATTACCTTTTTAAATTGGTTATTGTTAGTAGAGAGGAAAACCTAATGATTTTGTATCTGTATTTTGTGATGGAGACCTTAATTATTTTTTAAGCTCCAAATAATTTTCTAGTTGATTCTTATGGATTTCCAGGCACATAAACATATTATTTTCTCCTCTGTAACATTTATATTACACAGTTGTTGAGTCCACCAACAGCCTTGTCATGTGAAACAAGGTGAATTACATAACTGCATCATAATCTACTTACTTCCTCTTATGGGTTGAATTGTGTCTCTAAGAAAAACATGCTAAAGTCCTAGCACCTGGTACCTGTGAATGTGACCTTGCATATATCTACAGCACTTGGCCCTCTACCTCATACAAGGTAAGCATTCGAAAAACGGTTGAAAGGAAGGAGCTTAGAAAGGAATAAATTTCAGGTGAAAGGGTGGCCAACTCAAGTTGTGATGGAAGTTTTACAGAGCAACAGCTCTCAACCACTGAGTCATGGCACTGGTATAGAACTACCAATTATGAAGTACAAGCAACTGCCATAAGCAACATTAAGGACCGAAGTTTAGGAGGAAATTTCCTTGTTTTTTTAAATAAATATAAAATAGAACTAATTCAAGGTAATCCCTATAATAATGACACCCTTACTCACTCACATTCTGATGCTTTCTTGAATGTCAGTGGGAGAAGTAGCATTAGAGCAATATACCAGGAATTGCATCCAACCCTGGAATACTCATGAAAGAGCATTTTGTGGGAAAAACAGATAAGAACTGCTGCTATTAAAAAGGAGAAAAAAATAGGCCAGGCGCGGTGGCTCACGCCTGTAATCCCAGCACTTTGGGAGACCGAGGCTGGTGGATCACGAGGTCAACAGTTTGAGACCAGCCTGACATGGTGAAATCCCGTCTCTATTAAAAATACAAAAATCAGGCCGGGCGCTGTGGCTTAAGCCTGTAATCCCAGCACTTTGGGAGGCCGAGGCGGGTGGATCACGAGGTCAGGAGATCGAGACTATCCTGGCTAACATGGTGAAACCCCCGTCTCTACTAAAAATACAAAAAACTAGCTGGGCGTGGTGGCGGGCGCCTGTAGTCCCAGCTACTTGGGAGGCTGAGGCGGGAGAATGGCGTGAACCCGGGAGGCGGAGCTTGCAGTGAGCCGAGATCACGCCACTGCACTCCAGCCTGGGAGACACAGCGAGACTCCATCTCAAAAAAAAAAAAAAAAAAATACAAAAATCAGCCAGGTGTGGTGGCACACACCTGTCTGTAATCCCAGCTTGCAGTGAGCCAAGATTGCACCATTGCACTCCAGCCTGGGGACAAGAGTAAGACTTCGTCTCAAAAAAAAAATTTATTCTGAACATGGCAGCCAGAATGATCCCTTTACAACATGTCAGATAACATCATTGCTGATGACCCTCCCATGGCTCCCACCTTCCCCAGAGAAAAGACCCAGCATGAGTGGGATCTCACTGCCTCTCTGACTTCATCACTTAGCCCCTTCCTGTCACACTCTCCAATCCTACCCACTGGCCTCCTTGCCATTCCTTGATCTTGCCAAGCACACTCTCCGCAGGGTCTGTCTTCCAGCAGCTGCTCCTCTGCTGTAACAGTTTTCCACCCAAATGGATCTGAAGGACTCGCTTGCCCACTTTCTTCCATTCTCTGCTCAAATCATTAAGGCCTTCCCGGACTGCCCCTGCTCCACCCCACCAATGGATATACATAGTATAGAATTACTATGAACCAAAAACCTTCCTCTACATTTCAATCTTTTGCTAGAAACTACTCAGTCGTAAAATTTTTCTTAATCTTAAAACTTTTAAATAATATGCTGTTAAAATTGTTATGAGAAACATATACCTGCAGCTGTTGAAGATCATCTTCTTGAATGTTCTGGGATAAATTATAAATCTAGAAAACAAAAATCCAGATTGATACTATTCTGGCTTACTTCAAACAAATCCCAAATAAGCCTAAAGGGCTGACAGAAGCTTTGAACAATTAAAGACTTGCATATAAGAACATGAGACCTGTTCAAACAGTAATATGATCTGTCTTTTGGAAAACTATGCACATAAGGTTGAAATCAAAAATTCTTCCTTTACAGTTTAAAATATAGTTTTCCTAGTTCTTATCAAATCTATAGTTTCTATATGATGTAATAGATATAAATTTCCATTTTTTGGACTTTTCTTGGAACACATTATATATAATTATGACCAAAGAGGAAAAATTCTTTGGCTCCTTCTCAAACTTTTAAGAGTTTAACTGAATCTACAGTTTCAAAATATTTACATATCATCACAGAAATTCTGTTAACAGAACAATAACCAAAGCTGTATTTCCTCCCTTTATCTTATTTCCTTTGCAAGCTTTTTTCCGAGTCAAGTGGTTTTTACCTGAACAGAACTAGTCATAGTGCTTAGAGCAAAGATGGTAGCACAGTCTTTCACAGTTGACTGGCTATCAAATGCCCCCTGGGTATCCATCAGAACAACTGCAACCTAAAAAAAAGGAAAATACAAACAAAAGAGATTAAACTAAGAAGGAGGAAAATGTAAAGGAGAAATGGAAAAGTACAGGTAATATTTACGTGACCCTTAAGGACCTGCTTGTAGGTTCTGTACAACTATGTAGGTACTTTGCTTTGACTACAGCACTCTCCTAGAGATTATCCAGGAATACAGAGCAATATGGAAGGCAAAAATTGCTCCACCAATTGAAACAGTCAAAAGTTGAAAGCAAGTAGCTCATTACCCAGCCAGGCATTTGGATGATTTTTGTTGTTGAAAAAGAAACTAAACAACACTCATCTTGGCCAGGTGTAGTGGCTCACACCTATAATATCAACACGTGGGAGACCGTGGCGGCAGCATCACTTGAGCCCAGGAGTTCAATACCAGCCTGGGCAACATAGTGAGACCCTGTCTCTACACAAAATTTAAAAAATTAGGTCGGGCGCAATGGCTCATGCCTGTGATCCCAGCACTTTGGGAGGGAGGCCAAGTCAGGTGGATCACTTGAGGCCAGGAGTTCCAGACCAGCCTGGCCAACACAGTGAAACCCTGTCTCTACCAAAAATACAAAAATTAGGACAGGCACAGTGGCTCACACCTGTAATCCCAGTACTTGTACTTTGGGAGGCCAAGGCAGGTGGATCACCTGAGGTCCAGAGTTCGAGATCAGCCTGGCTAACATGGCAAAACCCTGTCTCTACTAAAAATAAAAAAAAAAAAAAAATTATACGGGCGTGGTGGTGCACAGCTGTAGTCCCAGCTACTCAGGAGGCTGAGGCAGGAGAATCACTTGAAGCCAGGAGGCAGAGGTTGCAGTGAGCCAAGACCACACTGCTGCACTCCAGCCTGGGTGACAGAGCGAGATTTTGTCTCAAAAAAAAAAAAAAAAAAAAAAAACTCTTTGGTATATACCCAAAGGAGCTGAAAACTTATGTCTCAACAAAAACCAACACATGAGTATTTATAGGAGCTTTATTCTTAATTGTCAAAATTTGAAAGCAACCAAGATGTCCTTCAACAGGCAAATGGATGAACAAACTGGTGCATTCATAATGTAGAATACTATTCAGCAATAAAAAGAAATGAACTATCAAGATACAAAAGAGTTGCAGAAATCTTAAAATCACATTGCTAAGTGAAAGAGGCCAATCTGAAAAGGCTGCATATTGTATGATTCTAACTATACGACATTCCGGTAGAGGTAAAACTATGGAGACAGTAAAAAGATCAGTGGAGGAGTTTGTGGGGAGGTAAGAAGAGAGGAACAGAGAGGTACATCACAGAGAATGTTTAGAGCAGTGTGACTGTTTTGTATGATATAGTAATAGTAGGCACATATCACTATACACTTGTCAAAATCCAATGTACAACACAATGAGTGAGCCCTAAAGTAAACTATGTATGGGCTTTAACTAATGACACTATATTGGTTCAAATATTAATTGTAACAAATGTATCACATTATTATAAGATATAATCAACAGAGCAAACTGAAGGAGGGTGTGGGAACTGGGCACTTTCCAATTAATTTTCCTGAAAACCTAAAACAAACAAAATAAAGATACGATTTTTTTTTTTTTTTTTTGAGACGGAGTTTCACTCTGTCGCCCACGCTGGAGTGCAACGGAACAATCTTGGCTCACTGCAACCTCCAACTCCCACGTTCAAGCGATTCTCCTGCCTCAGCCTCCCGAGTAGCTGGGATTACAGCCATGAGCCACCATGCCCGGCTAATTTTTGTATTTTTAGTAGAGACAGGGTTTCACCATGTTGGTCAGGTTTGTCTCAAACTCCTGACCTCAGATGATGCACCTGCCTAGGCCTCCCAAAGTGCTGGGATTACAGGCGTGAGCCACCGCACCTGGTCTATTTTTTGGGGGGGCTTTTTTTTGAGACAGAGTTTTACTCTCGTCACCTAGGCTGGAGTGCAATGGCGTGACCTTGGCTCACTGCAACCTCCATCTCCCAGGTTCAAGAGATTCTCCTGCCTCAGCCTCCTGAGTAGCTAGGATTACAGGCGCACACCACCACACCCGGCTAAATTTTTGTATTTTTTGTAGAGATGGGGTTTCACCAAGTTGGCCAGGCTGGTCTCCAATTCCTGACCTCATGATCCGCATGCCTCGGCCTCCCTAAGTGCTGGGATTACAGGCATAAGCCACTGTGCCCAGCCACTAATTTTTTTAAGGCAGGAAACCCAGATGACAATGAAAAGCATGGAGTTTTACAAAAGTGATAATTCAACAGGATAAAAAAATGGAAGAGCTATAAAAGTCATGTAACTAAAAACAAAGCTTCCTCACTACTAATATTATACAGATTTCCTAAACTATTAAGAAGAATTAATACGTCAAATGCCCAAATAGTAAATGTAAAAAACAAATTATTTAGGCCCCACCAGTCTATATAGAGGTATCACACAGTCAAAAAATAATTATTTATGGCTGGGCGCAGTGGCTGGGCGCAGTTGGGCTCCTGCCTGTAATCCCAGCACTTTGGGAGGCCGAGGCAGGCAGATCATGAGGTCAGGAGATCAAGACCATCCTGGCTAACATGGTGAAACCCTGTCTCTACTAAAAATACAGGAAAAAAAAAAAAAATTAGTCGGGTGTGGTGACAGGTGCCTGTAGTACCAGCTACTCGGGAGGCTGAGGCAGGAGAATGGTGTGAACCCGGGAGGCAGAGCTTGCAGTGAGCCAAGATTGCGCCACTGCACTCCAGCCTGGGTGACAGAGTGATACTCCGTCTCAAAAAAAAAATTTTTTTTTAATTATTATTATTTATTCTTAAAAACAAATTATAAGGCTGGGCACCGTGGCTTACACCTGTTATCTCAGCATTTTGGGAGGCCAAAGCAGGCATATTACCTGAGGTCAGGAGTTCGAGACCAGCCTGGCCAACATAGTGAGACCCCATCTCTACAAAAATACAAAAATCAGCCAGGTGTGTTGGAACACACCTGTAGTCCCAACAACTCAGGAGACCGAGGCATGAGAATCACTTGAACCTGGGAGGTGGAGGTTGCAGTGAACAGACATCCCACCACTGCACTCCAGCCTGGGTGACAGAGCAAGACCCTGTCTCCACAAAAAAAAAAAAAATATGAAAACATCTATCACACATTACAAAAAATGTAGAAAGAAGGCATGAGACAAAAAACTAACACTGAATTTAAAGTCATAGAACCTTAGAATGCCAATACTAACAGTAACTAGCTTAACTTCACTGGGTCTTTTTAGCACAGCATCTCTAAAATGAAAAGGTTGGACCTTCCACTTTCAGCCAAAACGGAGTAACAGAGACAGAATGTACCCTCCCACCTGAAGCCAAAACGGAACAGACAAAACTTATGAAACAACAGTCTACCAGGCACTGGACATTAAGTAGTGAAGAATAATGATCCCCGAAGGAAGAGAAACAGATGAGGTAAGGTCCAGGATTGCCCCAGCTCAAGGCACAGGGAGGGGGAACTGAAGCAGAACCAGACAACCCTGAAGCAGAACCAGACAACCCTGAAGCAGAACCAGACAACCCTGAGTTGAAGAGACAAAGCAGGAGAGTCAGGGAGACCAAAGCTACTAGAATTCACAAAGTACCTAAGAGGAAAAAATTACAGAGATAAAGAACCCCAGGGATCTGTAGAGGGTTCCCCAACAAGTGTTCAGCTAACTACTGATCAGTGCATGTGTATAAGGAAAACTGTCTGAGGCTAAACAGGGAGCCACTGAAAAGACTGTGAACCATCTCCAGTGCTCACACAAGTTCAGGAATAATGCCTGTTCCCTCCAGCCAGACTACAAAAACCTCATAATTCAAGCGGAATTAGGAAGAGTACTCAGAGTCTTGCCTCAGTAATGAGGAATAACTACCAACACTCTCTGGTTCCATTTAACAAATCTAAACAGCAAGAACAGAAAAAAACAAGTTTCCAAATTACTTAACTACATCTCAGAATACAGCTAGATGTTTTACAGGAATGCAAAAATAACCAGCACCCAACAAGGGAAAATCCACAAGCCTACATCCTATCAAAAATTTGCAGACATACAAGAAGCAGAAAAATATAACCCAAATGAAGGGAAAAATCAATCAAAACTGACTCAGAACTAACACAGATATTAAAATTAACAGAAAACAACTTTTTTTTTTTGAGACAGTCTTGCTCTGTCGCCCAGACTGGAGTGCAGTGGAACGATCTCAGCTCACCACAACCTCCACCTCCCGGGTTCAGGCAATTCTCCTTCCTCAGCCTCTCGAGTAGCTGGGACTACAGAAGCCCACCACCACACCCAGCTAATTTTTGTAGCTGGCCTGGCCAAAAACAACTTTAAAACAGTATTCAGGGCCGGGCGTGGTGGCTCACACCTGTAATCCCACACTTTGGGAGGCTGAGGTAGGTGGATTGCCTGCAGCCAGGAGTTCAAGACTAGCCTGGCTAACATGGTGAAACCCCATCTCTACTAAAAATACAAAAAATAGCCGGGTGTGATGGCACATGCCTGTACTCCCAGCTACTCAGGAGGCTGAGGCAGGAGAATCGCTTGAACCCAGGAGGCAGAGGTTGCAGCGAGCCGAGATGGCACTACTGCACTCCAGCCTGGGTTAGAGAGCAAGACTCTGTCTCCAAAAAAAAAAAAAAAAAAACCAAAAACAGTATTCTGTATAACTTTACTTCATATATTCAAAAAGTGGTGACATAAAAGATACTAAAAGTGGATGCAGAAACTGAATCATGTAAATGAAAAAAAAAAAATACTAAAAAGTCCTAAATTTAACTGCTAGAGATGAAAATTACAATGTCTGAAATGAAAAATACACTGGACCTGATTAATAGCAGGTTCTAAAAGATTAGTGAACTTGAAGACCTAGAAATGCTCCACAAGAAAACAGACAAAAAGGCCAGGCACGGTGGCTCACACCTGTAATCCCAACACTTTGGGAGGCCAAGGGGGAAGGATCACCTGAGGTCAGGAGTTTGAGACCAGCCTGGTCAACTTGGTAAAATGCTGTCTCCACTAAAAATACAAATATTAGCCAGGCAGGGTGGTGCACACCTGTAATCCCAGCTACTCAGGAAGCTGAGACATGAGAACCTGGGGGGCAGAGGTTGCAGCGAGCCGAGATCACGCCATTGCACTCCCGGCCTGGGCAACAGAGCAAGACTCCATCTCAAAAACAAAAAAACAAAAAAACTCTGTTTTCTTTTTTTTTTTTTTGAGATGGAGTCTCGCTCTGTTGCCCAGGCTGAGAGTGCAGTGCCACAATATTGGCTCAATGCAATCTCCGCCTCCCAGGTTCCAGCAATTCTCCTGCCTTAGCCTCCCAAGTAGCTGTGATTACAGCTGGGCACCACCACGCCCAGCTAATGTTTGTATTTTTAGTAGAGACAGGGTTTCACCATGTTGGTCAGGCTGGTCTCAAACTCCTGACCTCAGGTGATCCGCCCACCTCAGCCTCCCAAAGTGCTGGGAATACAGGCATGAGCCACCGTGCCTGGCCTTTTTCTTTTTTTTTTTTTCAGATGGAGTTTAGCTCTTGTTGCCCGGGTGGGAGTACAATGGCGTGATCTCGGCTCACTGCAACCTCCATCTCCAGGGTTCAAGCAATTCTCCTGCCTCAGCCTCCCAAGTAGCTGGGATTACAGGCATGACCCACCATACCCAGCTAATTTTTTGTATTTAGTAGAGATGGGTTTTCAGTTGGTCAGGCTGGTCTCAAATCCCTGACCTCAGGTGATCCACCCACCTCAGCCTCCCAAAGTGTGGGATTACAGATGTGTGCCACCGCGCCTGGCCAAAGAATTTTATTTTATTATTATTATTTTTTTTTTTTTTTGAGACGGAGTCTCGCTCTGTCACCCAGGCTGGAGTGCAGTGGCCGGATCTCAGCTCACTGCAGCTCCGCCTCCCGGTTTACGCCTTCTCCTGCCTCAGCCTCCGAGTAGTGGGACTACAGGCCCGCCACCTCGCCGGCTAGTTTTTTGTATTTTTTAGTAGAGACGGGGTTTCACCGTGTTATCCAGGACGGTCTCGATCTCCGGACCTCGTGATCCGCCCGTCTCGGCCTCCCTAAGTGCTGGGATTACAGGCTTGAGCCACCGCGCCCGGCCTTTTTTTTTTTTTTTTTTTTGAGACAGAATCTTGCACTGTTGCCCAGGCTGGAGTGCAGTGGCCGGATCTCAGCTCACTGCAAGCTCCGCCTCTTGGGTTCATGCCATTCTCCTGTTTCAGCCTCCCGAGTAGCTGGGACTACAGGCGCCCGCCACCCCGCCCGGCTAATTTTTTGTATTTTTAGTAGAGACGGGGTTTCACTGTGTTAGCTAGGATGGTCTCGATCTCCTGACCTTGTGATCTGCCCTCTTCCACCTCCCAAAGTGCTGGGATTACAGGCGTGAGCCACCGCGCCCGGCCCAAAGAATTTTAAATGAACAAAGCGTCAGTCAGCTGTGGAACAACTTCAAGCAGCAAGAGGCACATGTAATAGCATTCTCCAAAGGGAATAAGAGACCAAAAAAATTTGAAGACATAATAACTTTAAAATGTCCAAATTTGATAAAAAATTGTAAATCTGCAGATTCAAGAAGCTCAATAAAACCCACATACAAAAAACATGAACTACATCAAAACACATCATAATTTGCTCAAAAACTGATAAAATCTTAAAAGCAACCAGACATACCCATAAATACATGTACCATTATGTACCCACGAAAAAAAATTTTTTTTGCCGGCACGGCGGGCACGGTGGCTCAAGCTGTATCCAGATTTGGAGGCCGAGACGGCGGGTCACGGGTCAGGAGATCGAGACCATCCTGGCTAAACGGTGAACCCCGTCTCTACTAAAAAATACAAAAAACTAGCCGGGCGAGGTGGTGGGCGCCTATAGTCCCAGCTACTCAGGAGGCTGAGGCAGGAGAATGGCGTAAACCCAGGAGGCAGAGGTTGCAGTGAGCTGAGATCCGGCCACTGCACTCCAGCCTGGGCGACAGAGTGAGACTCCGTCTCAAAAAAAAAAAAAAAAAAAAAATTTTTTTTAATTTAAAGAAAAAAAGCAACCAGACAAAAAAGTCATATTAGGTACAAAAGAACAAAAATAACAGTGTATTTCTTGTCAGAAACAATGTCAGCAGGCTGGGTACAGTGGCTCCTGCTTGTAATCCCAGCACTTTGGGAAGCAGAGGCAGGTGAATAACCTGGGGTCAGGAGTTCAAGATCAGCCTGACCAATATGGTGAAACCCTATCTCTACTAAAAATACAAAAATTAGCCGGGCGCGGTGGTGCACGCCTGTAGTCCCAGCTACTCGGAAGGCTGAGACAGAAGAATTGCTTGAACCCGGAAGGCAGAAGTTGCAGTGAGCCAAGATCCCACCACTGCACTCTAGCCTGGGCAACAGAGCGAGACTCCCTCTCAAAACAAAAAAGAAAAGAAACAATGTCAGCGAAAAGGCAAAGGGGCAACACCTTTGAAGTACTGAGAAAAATACTTTGGCCTAGAACTCTATACTAAGAGTAAATGTTTTCCAAAACAAAGGCAAAATAAAGATTTTTCAGATGTATGAAAGCTAAAAGAATTCAGTACCAACAGACCAGCACTTCAAAATATCAAAGGTGGCCTGGCGTGGTGGCTCACCCCTATAATCCCAGCACTTTGGGAGGCCGACACAGGCAGATCACGAGGTCAGGAGTTCCAGACCAGCCTGGCCAACATTGTGAAACCCTGTCTCTACTAAAAATACAAAAATTAGCCAGGCATGATAGTGTGTGCCTGTAGTCCCAGCTACTCAGGAGGCTGAGGCAGGAGAATGGTTTGAACCTGGGAGGCAGAGATTGTAGTGACAATATGGTGCCACTGCACTCCAGCCTGAGCAACAGAGCGGGACAGCTACTCAGGAGGCTGAGGCAGGAGAATGGCGTAAATCCGGGAGGCGGAGCTTGCAGTGAGCCGAGATCCCGCCACTGCACTCCGGCCTGGGCGACAGAGCGAGACTCCGCCTCAAAAAAAAAAAAAAAAAGCACAAACAGGCATGAGGGCATGCTTATAGGACTGGGCTAAAAACAGAAGTGATGGATAAAAGTCTGTGTAAGAAACACATGACTTACCCCTCCCGATCCTTACAAAGAAATCTGTGGAGAGGCTCTATGCCCATAGCTTATAAGGCATGGATGAGACTGGGGGTAAGAAGCCCTACTGACAGCTGGGGGGTAGTGAATGCCCACCTTCTGAACAGTGAGATTCCCCATTGCCATTTCCCTGCTCAACTCCCAGAACAACAACGCCCAGGTCTGTGCCACCCATACAGGAGTAAGGAAATAAAGAACAGAAGTGGTAACACATAAGAGCATCAGCCTCTGAAAAGTGAAAACTGGGCAGAGAGGAGAATAACACACATGACAGTTGCTTTCTGTTAGAAGCCTTACAGTAGTATTTGACCTTTTAAACTATATCCATGCATTTTATTTAAAAATCTTAAAAACAATCAATATGTATTAATTTTAAATCATTCGCTTTAATAAAAAGTTGTTTTCACATCTTCCTTCCTTTTATTGAAAAGGCGCCCACCCGCCCAGCTAATTTTTTGTATTTTTAGTAGAAACAGGATTTCACTATGTTGGCCAGGCTGGTCTCAAACTCCTAACCTTGTGATCTGCCCACCTTGGCCTCCCAAAGTGCTGGGATTACAGGCGTGTGAGCCACTGCACCCGGCCGCCATTGGCTTCTTTAATTGGTTAAGAGCACAAAATGTAACAGGCAGAAGGTCTGTTTCAAACAAATTAAAATGCTATGTGTTTTTTAAATTTTCCCCAAGTCAGATATACAAACACCCACAAAAATTGTGTGTGAAGGAAAGCTGTCATACACAATAAGTTGTATCCTGAATTATTCAAGGAAGCACATGTTGGAATGGGAATTAGCAGAGTCAGCAACAGATTAATATTTTTTAATTGAGTCTTAAAATGCTACATGGCCCTAAGCAATACTACATAAAGTACTGCTAGGTGCAAAGGAGAAAATCTGTATAGCTTTTAGTAAAAATGTTTTTCCAGAAAAGAAAATTAAAATAAAGCAATTAGCAGACCAAGGAGACTACAGCTAGATATCAAAGCTACAACTTCTCATATCTGTGTCAGAAAATCCTATTTTCCGCAATAGACTAAAATTTCAGGACAAAACAGGGACTTTTTAACTTTTCTTTACCGATTTTAAATTCTTTGATAAAAGGTTTTTAATTGGGTTAACACAGTACATGCTGAAGTTCATATTTTGTTGTTGTTGCTGTTGTTAATCTGTAAGGTCATTTTCATCCTTACCTTCTTCCCACCTGGCTTCTCCACAGTGAAAACTTCACTCCAGATCTGAATCCCAGTGGTTTCCGGATCAGATCCCCCTCTCCATGAAAATCCTGTTAACGGTTCTTCTGGGTCACCCAACCAATTTGAATGGCCACTTTCCTTCTACAGAAGTAAGAAATCTCCATTAAATCTTAAATTAAAAATTTTATGCATCAAGAATAATCTATGAGCTTATTTTGCTTTTTTGGACATTCAAGTCTCACTTTTTACTTGAAATAAAATAATTCTATCTTACCTGAGAATATAAGTATCGTAGCATAAAATCCAGAATGAAGGACTTGCCCTTTCGGAAGGCACCAGCCACTGAAACCACCACCACATCAAGATCTCGGATGTGGTCCTGCAAGAGGATGCTGGCCAAGGCTTTCTCATCTAGCTCAAAGGAATGTTGATCTTTCTGAACCAAAACAACCTGCACTGGACCAGGCTTGCTGCTTTCCATGGCATCACCTATGTTCATGTAGAGAAAAAAAAATTAGTGTCAAATATTTAAAATATGTTTTTGAATATGGGGAAAACAAAAACTTCTTAAACAGGGGACAGGGTCAGGCTCAGTGGCTCATGCCTAAAATCACAGCACTTTGGGAAACCAAAGCAGAAAGATTACTTGAGGCCAGGAGTTTGAGACTAGCCTGGGAAACAGTGAAACCCAGCGCTATGAAATTTAAAAAATTAGCCAGGTGTGGTGTACACCTGTAGTCCTCGCTATTCAGAGGCTGAGGCAGGAAGACTGCTTGAGCCCAGGGGTTTGAGGTTGCAGTGAGCTATGATCACACCACTGTACTCCAACCTGGGTGACAAAACTAAAAGAAACAAAAAACAGACACAAAAGTACTAACCATAAAAGGGCAGGGCACGGTGGTTCGCCCCCGTAATCTCAGCACTTTGGGAAGTCGAGGTGGGTGAATCACTTGAGGTCAGGAGTTCAAGACCAGCCTGGCCAATATGACGAAACCCCATCTCTACCAACAAATACAAAAATCAGCCAGGTGTGGTAGCACACACCTGTAAGTCCTAGCTACTCGGGAGACTGAGGCATGAGAATAACTTGAACCTGGGACGCAGAGGTTGCAGTGAGCTGAGATCATACCATTGCACTCCCACCTGGGCAACAGATAAGACCCTGTCTCAAAGAAAAAAAGTACTAACCATAAAAGAAAATAAAATGACAACACAGACTTCATTAAAATTAAAAATTGTGTTCATTTAAAGACTTCAATAAGTAAAAATGCAAGTCACAGGCTAGGGAAGAGTATTCATAATATCTATTTCCAAAGGACCCACATCCAGCATCAACATAGCAATCCACAAGAAAAAATAACAGGCACTTTGCAAGAAAAAGACATACAAATCCTATTAAAAGGTACTTCCATATCATTACTCAACAGGGAAATGTAAATTAAAACCACAGTAAGATACCACTACCTGCCCATCAGGATGGCTAAAATTTAAAAGACTGACAATATCAACTGTGGGACAGGGTATGAAGCAACTGGAATTCTCACACATTCTGATAGGAGCACAAAATACTAAAGCCATTTCAAAAAACTGTTTGGCAGTATCCACAAAAATTAAATGTATCTGTGATCCAGCAATTCTACTCCAAGGTATACACCAAGTTATACACCTAAGAGAAATGAATGCCTACGTCCACCAAAAAACATATATACAAGAATGTTGAGCTGGGCGTGGTGGATCGCACATGTAGTCCCAGCTACTTGGAGAGCTGAGGCAGGAGGATTACTTGGGCCCAGGAGTTCAAGACCAACCTGGACAATATTGCAAGACTCTATCTCAAAAACAGAAAGTTCCTATCAGCTTTACTCAAAACAGTCCAAAAGTGGAAATAAAACAATGTCTATCAATAATAGTGTGTTTGCCACTGCTAAGCTTTCTATATATTTAATCCTCAGAACAACTCTGATGTAATATTTTTTTTTTTTTTTTTTTTTTTTTTATTTTCCTATGATGGATTCCTCAAGCTCCTTCACGATTCTGCTAGCTCATACTGGAATACAGGATAGCTATTTTTTTTATTTTAGAACGGTTCACCTGTCAAGCTCACCTATTATCCCCCCCTCCATGTGGCATTACATTGACAGGCTTCCATTTAAAAGAAGGAAATGGCCAGGCTCAGTGGCTCACACTTACAATCCCAGCACTTTGGGAGGCCAAGGCAGGCTGATCACTTGAGGTCAGGAGTCCAAAACCAGCCTGGCCAACATCGTAAAGCCCTGTCTCTACTAAAAATACAAAAAAAAAAAAAAAAAAAAAATTAGCCGGGCATGGTGACACATGCCTGTGGTCCCAGCTACTCAAGAGGCTGAGGGAGGAGAATTGCTTGAACCGGGAGGCAGAAGCTGCAGTGAGCCGTGATCGCGCCACTGCACTCCAGCGTAGGTGGCAGAGAGGTCTCAAAAAAAAAAAAAAAAAAGAAGGAAATGAAGGCTTATGAAGGTTCAGCACAGTGCCCAACAGTTCCTAGAAATAAGCTCAAAAAGATCTTTAGGTGGTTGTGTTTTGCATATCACTAGTAATAACTCAAAAAGTTTTAGAAGCAATTAATTCTGTAGTTCAAAAATAAGCACTAACTAGTATTATACTTTCCTTACCAGTTTCCCTACCAAAGTACAAAGATAATTAATTTGAAATTCAGGTCAGCCACAGCGTCCACGCCTGTAATCCTAGCACTTAGAGAAGCTGAGATGGGAGGATTGCTTGAGGCCAGAAGTTCAAGACCAACTTGGCCAATACAGCGAGAGATTGTCTTGAGAAGGGAAGAGGGAAGGGAAGAGGGGAGGGGAGGGAAGGGAAGGGAAGGCAAGGGGCCGGACGCAGTGGCTCACCTGTGCAATCCCAGCACTTTGGGAGGCCGAGGCGGGCAGATCACCTGAGGTCGTGAGTTCTAGACCAGCCTGACCAACATGGAGAAACCCTGTCTCTACTAAAAACACAAAATTAGCCAGGCGTGGTGGTGCACGCTTGTAATCCCAGCTACTTAGGAGGCTGAGGCAGGAGAATCCCTTGAACCCAGGAGGTGGAGGTTGCGGTGAGCCGAGATTGCGCCACTGCACTCCAGCCTGGGAGAAAGAGTGAGACTCCGTCTCAAAAAAAAAAAAAAGAAAAGAAAAGAAAGCAAAAAAATTCATTCAGGCCGTGCGTGGTGGCTCACGCCTGTAATCCCAGCACTTTGGGGGCCAAGGCGGGCAGGTCACCTGAGGTCAAGAGTTCAAGACCAATCTGGTCCAACAATGGTGAAACTCTGTCTCTACTAAAAATTAGCCAGGCGTGGTGGTGCGCGCCTGTATCCCAGCTACTCCAGAGGCTGAAGCAGGAGAACTGCCTGAACCTGCATGGTGGAGGTTGCAGTGAGCCAAGATCGTGCCACTGCACTCCAGCCTAGATTTCAGAGCGAGACTCCATCTCAAGAAAAAAAAAAAAAGAAAGAAAGAAATTCAGAGCCACTTAGTAGCTGTGGACTTACGGGAAGTTTACAAAAAACTACCATTGGGGCCTAAGGAGTGAATAAAGAACTATTTCCCTAAGTGTGAGTGTCACTGGTATTAAAGATGTTTTTAGGTAGTTAAAAGGACATAGTAATTTTAATAATTATGCATTTTAATGTATACTTTAAAACAACAAATCTGTATTTTAATAAATTATTCTTTAGAAGGATGCTAAATTTAACAAGTCTGTTTATTTATTTAAGACAAGGTCTGGCTCTATCACCCAGGATGGAGCACAGTGGCACTATCTCAGCTTATTGCACTCTCCGCCTCTCCGGCTCAAGTCATCCTCCCACCTCAGCCTTCCAAGTAGCTGGGACTACAGGCATTCATCACTATACCCAGCTAATTTTTGTATTTTTGGAGAGATGGGGTTTCACCATGTTGCCCAGGACCGTCTTGAACTCCTGAGCTCAAATGATCTACCTGTCTCAACCTCCTAAAGTGCTGGGATCACAGCGACACCATACCCAGTCAAGAAGTCAATCTAAAGTAGACTTGAGGAGACATATTAAGTAAAGCTTAGTACTGACAGGCAGACACGGCCAAAATCACAGTGACACCTTACCCGGCCAAGAAGTGAATTTAAAGTAGACCTAAGGAGACATATTAAGTAAAGCTTAGTACTGACAGGCAGACACGGCCAAAATCACAAAGATGGTTCCAAAATGACTTTGTCTAACCAGCACTGAGGGCTACACGATCATGGCAGGCAAAGCAGACAAAACTGTTTGACTGCAAAACTCTCTCCCCTTTAAGCCACTGGAATTGCTGCTCACTTTTTACATTTATAGTATCAGATAGCAACAAAAGGGTTCTTCGCACTTTTTTTTTTTGAGACAGTATCTTGCTCCAGCACCCAGTATCTTACTGCAGCCTCAAACTCCTGGGTTCAAGCGATTCTCCCACCTCAGCCGCCAGAGTAGCTGGGACTACAGGTGTGTGCCACCATCAGTGGCTAATTTTTTTAATTTTTTTGTGGAGATGGGGGTCTCATGTGGCCCACATTAGTCTCAAACTCCTGGGCTCTAGTGATCCTCTCACCTCAGCCTCCCAGAATGCTGGGATGATAGGCCACTGTGGATGTCAATGATAGCCACTGTGCCTGGCTTCTTCCTACTTTTTAAGTTTTTGCAGACTATTAGGAAACAAGTTATAAATATAGGTTAAATGTCATGCTATCATTGTAATCAATGTATACTAACACTTTTCTATCCTGTTATTGCCTGGATTAAAAAGGAAACATTTCTGGGAATAATCTCTTGGGGTTCTTACTGCCACAGCAGCAGGTAAATCCAAGATCCAAAGACCTTCAGTCTTTCATACAAAAGAACTAATGAGAAGAATTTATTCAGACTTCAGGGATAAAGCCACAGTGTTAAGTACCGTGTAGCACTCAAAGAAATACAAAACAAAGTCTCGATTGTGACAGAGATGTCTGGTTTTTCCCCCAATATTAGTTTCTCCCTCCTGCTATATAACAGATTTTTAGCTGGGCATACAACTGCCCAGAAGAAACACATTTCCAACCCAAATTTATAGCTAGGATATGACCAGGTGACTAAATTCTGACCAATGGGAAGTGACTGGAAATGACAGACGCAACTTCCAGATCAGGCGTTTTCCCCTTGCTTGCTGGCTGGATGTAAAAGTAGGAGTGAATCACCTTGCGCCAGGCATACGAGGGCAACACCCCAGGAATGCTGGAGAAACAAGAGAGGTCAGATTTCATGTAGCAGAACTGCCATATTGGTTCACTTTTATGTGAAAAAAAAATGTCTACCTTGCTTAAATCACTTATTTGGAGGCTCTGCCAAATACAGCCAAGCCTAGTAGCCAACACAACAGTCTTCTAGGACTTTACAATTAAGTTCATCATACCAGATCTTTTTGTTTTATCTATTTCACTACTAAAAGTTTACTGAGCAAGGCCAGCCACAGTGG